CATTTCAATGTAATGTTAAACCCTATTGAATGCTTCATAGTGTGCTGAATTGGTCCTTTTTAATAGGAGAGCTTTGTTCATTGAGTGACTCTTGTATTATTACATTGTGCTTTTAAAAAGGAGATTATTGTTGACCAAGTTCTTTAGTCTCTCTGTGTTCACTCATTACATCAATACTATCAAATTTGTTAATATTAGCATAAATTTCACCAAAACTTTATGTGCATTAAGAAGTCATTAAGGTTATTGAGAGTAATTCAAGTAATCTCAAACTGGTAAAATTCTCATCAGAGGTTAGAGATTAACAATTCTGTAGGAAGCGTCATTCACATAGGGTCTTTCTTTCTGTGCCGTTATCTGACTAGCCATTCAGTGTGTTGTGGATGATCTTTCTGTATACCGTGAACATGTGTCTCTGCTTAAGGTGTCATCTGATTGGTTTATGAAGGGTTTCTGAGTACTCAGGCATCTTACTGGCCTGTCTTTGGAGTTCTGACAGGATACACACTCAGCTGCAGGCTGTGCATATTCACTATGTTCCCTTTTAAAAGGGCCCTGCCCATCTCCCATCCTTCTCTCTCTTTCTCTCCCTCTCCATGTTCCCTTTTCTCTCTCCTTATCTCTCTAGCTCTTTCTTTTCTCCTCTCTCCTTGCGTTTCTGTCTCTGGAAACCGCCCCCCCCTACCTTTTCCCTTTTTATGATCCGTTTTCCTAATTAAAAACCCCTCGGCTTGAACTCTGTCACATGGCGTCTTTCTTTGGAGTGCTACTTCTCTTGCAACAGAGCTGGATGGCTAATAGCTAGGCAGGGGAGAATAGGGGGACTTCTGGGGAGAGAGAGGAACTCTGGGAAGAAGAGAGGTGGGATTAGGCAGCCAGACACCAGGGAGTAGGAGGTACCTTAGAGAGGAGAGATAATGAGCCATGCAGCAGAAGGTAGATTAACACAAACAGGTTAACGTAAGTTATAAGAACTAGTTGGGGACAACCCTGAGTTCAGGCCAAGCTTTCATGATTAGTCATAGTCTGTGTGTCATTATTTGAGGAAAAACTTCCTGATGACAAACCTGGCTACATCAGTCTGTGCGGATGAAGGGAATGCAGTCGAGTGATGCGCAGATGTGGTAGAGTGGAATGACCCTGGAGATATGAGGTGCCATGGTCCTATGCATGGGGATGATTCCAGGTTTTACCTACTGATCTGGGTAACTCAGCATCCTGTCTCTATATTCTATCATGTATCAATATCATCAAGGAAACTCAGTGAATTGAGGTGCGGGGCTTTCTGTCTGGACTGTTCCTATCATTTTAAGCTCTGAGCCATCTCTTCAGTCCTAGAACTCATAAATGTTAACAAGTGATGTCAGAATTTAGCAGTGTTTATGCAATGCTCAACACCTGCCCCATGTCCAGAGAGAGATGGAGTCTTGTAGTCCATCTCAGCATGAAAAGCCCTTTAGTATCTCCCACAGTGAAAACACCTGCACGTGGAAAACTGGTATGCCTGTTAAGGTGTTCCTTATGCGTGTTGTAAGGTTATTTTGTTTTGTTTTGTTTTTCGAGACAGGGTTTCTCTGTGGCTTTGGAGGCTGTCCTGGAACTAGCTCTTGTAGACCAGGCTGGCCTCGAACTCACAGAGATCCACCTGCCTCTGCCTCTCGAGTGCTGGGATTAAAGGCGTGTGCCACCAACGCCCGGCATTGTAAGGTTATTTTAAACCATTTCATTTACACTCCAAAAGTCATCCCAATGTAACATTAATATAATCGTCAATTGAGATGAATAGTCCTTAAGTCTGGATGTCAGAATTCAAACCATCTTTGAAATGTGTGAATGTCTCCTTAATATACTGATTACAAAGCAAAAACCATGTACTTGATAAGTATCTCAGTGTACTAATACCCTCACATTAATAGGTGTGTGGTCTCCTGGCTTCGGCTTGCTAGAAGCTTCAGGTATTGTTCCTATTGGGTGAGAAATGATTTTGCTGCTACTGATGCAAAAACGGGCTTGAGTCCAATAAGTATACGCTTTGCCAGCTGAACCTGAAGCTTTGCCAGTAGAGGGCGGGAGAGCACCAGGAAGGGAAAGCATTTGGTTTCTGTCTTGAAGGCTTTTGCCAGGTTCCTGCAGTGTGTGTGTGTCCGATTTGCATCAAGTTAACATCAGAACTAATTAATGATAGATGTGACAATGGCAGACCACCTCAGTACAGGATCCAATACAATGGAATTAGGAATGACTTCTGGGTCCTAAGTCTCAGAGATAGGAATTGGTGACCAATGCACTCCCAATTTGTTTAATATCATGTGTTTCGAGGATCCCCTAGAGGAGTCCAGAGTATTGTGGTAGATGCCTGGTTTTGGGGGTGTGTGGAGGCAACTGCCTGGTTTCCTGTGGAGATATTGTACTGATGTCTGAGCTGGGAATCATCACATTTCTGCCAGTAACACATTATCCTCCTCAGCTCCTGTCTCTTCTCCTCTGTGTTCTTGGTGATGTGAACTGTATGGCCACTGACCCAGGAGCCAGCTCCCATCCTAATTTCCTTGCCTCCCCCAAACTCCTGTGAGATGAGATCACCAGGAAGTTAAGGCTTATTGCAGGTGGGCTGTGCTGGCTAGGAAGGAGCCATGAGATAACAGTGAGGCCATGGGAACCCAGATCAGGGATCAGAGCTGCACACTTCAGTGAGAGACATAGGTCTTTGCTTTCATTTGCTTCCTTGATTCTGTCAGCCAGATCAGCACCTGGGCCAGGATGCAGAAGGATGTTGTCAACAGGACAATTACAGGTATCAGGGTGAGTAATTTGTCCCCAGACACTGCTCTCAGAGCTGGAGGTGTAGTGTGGAAATAGGGTTCTTCAGATTCCTCTCCCAGGTGTTAATCTTTGTTGTTAATTTTTTATTTAAATTAAAACAATCTTATTTTACATGCCAATCCCAGAACCCCTGTCTCTCCCCCTACTATCTGCCCATCCCATTCCCATTCACTTCTCAGAGAGGGTGAGGCTTCCCATGAGGGATCATCAAAGACTGTCACATCATTTGGATCAGGACCAAGGCCCTTCTCCCTGTATCTAGACTGAGACTGTGTCCCTCCATAGGAAATGGGTTCCAGAAAAGCCAGTTAATGCACTAGGGATAAATCCCGGTTCCGCTGCCAGTGGCCCCATAGGTTGCCTGAGTCCCCCAACTGACACCCACATCAGGAGTCCTGGTTAGGTTTCATGCAGTTCCCCAGCTGTCAGCCTGGAATCTGTGAGCTCCCCCAGTACTTAATCTTTTCATGGCACTTCTGGTCAACTTCACCCCCATTGGGAATTCTTAGAGACCAGTCAGGCTCATCCCAGACATCAGAGTGAATTTGGAAAATTCTACACTGATTCTCTACCCATCATTGAGGGGGAAGATTCATTTAAATTTATGCACACTGACCAGCTTGTTCAATAATATTCTAAATTCTAAAATAAAACTTAATACGATAATATGAACTCAGAGAACTTGATTCTTCTAAGGACATGGATGCAGCTACTTTGAAGGACATGATGGTATTTTAAGTTCCAGATTGTGAGTAACACCTGAATGAACCTAGTGAAGTATTCAAGATAAAAATCTTCAGTGTGCCCAGTTTGGTGACCTAAGGATTTCTCTCAATACTCAGGGGACAGAGGCATGTAGATGTCTGTGACTTCCTGGACTACCTCAAGAAAAAAAAAAAACAAAGAAAGAAAAAGAAGTAAAAGGCTACAAAAATTTGAAGATATTAATAAAAACACCCCCCATGGCTGGAGAGATGCCTAAACTGTGTAGACAACCACAGTTGGAGTCTTTGAAGTCTGTAAGCTCACAACCTTCTGTCCCTCCTACTCCAGATTTGCCAAGAGTTTCTTCTGGCCTCCACAGACAACTGTACTTCCAACCATCACACACACACACATACACAACCAAATATACACATAAAAATATATCTTAAACATATCAACCCTGTACAGTTTTGTGAAGATGCTTTTCCTATACTGCACATAGCAATAAAATGTTGAAAGGGAGAATCAGAATCTAAGAATGTCTAGTGAGAAAGATCTATCAATTTCACCACATTATTGTTTTTTGTAAATCTTCCGTTTACATGCACGTTATCTTTAATGTTCAATAAAGCAAATGTTTAAGATTCTCTGTTCCTAACCTAGTGAGCAAGGACTGACATAATCCACACAAGCATAAGCACTTTTGATGCCTTCCTAAGGCTATGTAGACATCCTGATGTCTCAGTGTGAGAATTGTAGATGGAAGTTTCTGCCCTGCTCAGTCTTGCAGCCTTTCAGTGCCAAATAAACACACAGAGGCTTTTATTGACTATAAACTGTCTGGCTGGTGGCTAAGACTTCTTATTGGCTATCTCTCTTTTTAATAATTAAGCATAACTATTAATCTATGTATCTCCGCGTGGTCCTGGCTTACTGGAGAATGCCCGGATGTCCTACATTCCCGGTAGCAACATGGCTTCTCTCTGGCGACTCGCTTCACTGTTTGTGTTCCTCATCCCAGCTTTCTCCTAGTCTGGTAGCCCTGCCTATACTTCCTACCTGGCAATATCCTGCCTGTCCATTGGTCAAAACAGCTTTATTCATCAACCAATAAGAGAATCATATATTCACAGCATACAAAAATGAAATCTCTCCTCAGAGAATTGCTGACTCAATGGCCTCTGGACTGGACTCAAAAGGATATTTTGACCAGTATGAGGTGGACAATGACCAGGGTAACTAATTTGTCTCCATGCACTGCTGCTAGGATCCCAGGTCCCAGAGCTGGGTCTGAGCTGGGAAAGCAGGGCCCTGGAGATTTTCCTTCCAGGAGTTCATCTTTCCATGACTCAACTACAAATTTCTCTCTCATTACCATTGGGATTCTTAGAGAAGCCAATTAGCCTTCACCATATCATGATTATAAACTGAAGGCACACAAGCAGAGACTCGGGGTCTACTCTTCAAGAAGAATGAAAGCCTTTGTTCCCGAGGCTCTCCTCCTGCTGATCCTGGCCAATCTCACAATGACCAGGCATCCAAAGGGTGAGTGTGGGTGCCAGTAGGGGAAAAAACTAGATTACACATCTGGGGCTGGAGCACAGGTAAGTCATCCTCTCCCCTAGTCCAGACAGAACATTCTAGGACCTTACTTATTTTACATCTTGTCCCCTGTCCCCTGTCTCCTGTTCTCTGCTCTCCTGGGAAGACTGGGGAGCAGCACAGGACACTGGGTGGGAGGACTAAACCTAAAGACCCATTGCACCTAGGTTCACACTCCCTGAGCTATTTGCAAACTCTGCTCACCTGGCATGACCTGGAGCCCGACTTCATCCTTGGTGTCTACTTGGATGACATTCTTATTGAGAGATTCAACAGCAGAGCAGAGGCACGAAGGCTGGAGCACTGTGCACCTTGGGTGGATCAGCAGCAGCCAGAGTACTGGGATAGTGAGACAAGGGCCATTCGGAAACTAATTGACATCTACCAAGACTTCCTGGAGACAGTGCTTCACCTCTACAATCAAAGTGAAACTGGTGAGTGAATATGAATCAGAAATCCTCAACTTCAAGCTCCCAATGTGTTTGCTCCAGTTCCCCATATCCCAATATATTGTGAAATGAGATCCATGTAGATTAGCCTACAGAGAGCCTTGAGACATTGACCTAGATTTCTGCACAATTTAAACTTTGTAAATGTGCCCATTTTCAACATCAAGTGGGAGGTACCGAGTCACAGGAGGGTCCCAAGGACCATGGCCCTGTGAGAGTGTCTGAGAGTAGGGGTTTCCACAGGATATCACACAATGCAGATGCTGATTGCCTGCGATGTGCTGCCGGAAGAAAAATTCAGTCGTGCACAATTTAAATTTGTCTTTGATGGCCGTGATTACATCACACTGAATGAGGACCTGAGCACTTGGACTGTAGTTGGCAAAGAAAGTGAGATCCTAAGGGAAGAGTGGGAAAAGGCAACATTTCCAAAACTTTTCATTTCTACCGTAATGAAAAGCTGTGAGAACGTCATCCTCCATCAATTGGACTATGGGAAGGATTTTTTCCTGAGAAGAGGTAAGGAAAGAAACTGCCACACCTGCTCCATAACTGGAGCCTCTTTACCCTGTGGATTCTTCCTCAGCAGGGAGAAGTTGGAATAGTAACTTGGTCTTGCATGAAAGGGAAAGGGTGTCATGGGTTTCCTAACTCAACAAGAGAGAGGGAATCTCCAGAGATATAAATTTTCTCTCTCGATAGTTCAGTCTGCCAGCTAAGCAGCAGTTCCTTTCCATTTGCATTTTGAATCTAACCTCTGTGAGGCCTGTTCACTGCCCATGAACATTTGTGATCTGACCCAGTGTAGCTGAGTCTCAGTCTGCATCTAGGGAGAAACGTCCTTATTCCTAGAGGGAGATCTGGAGTCTCCCGCTCTGTGCTGACTTGCACTGATTCTGAAACTTTCCATGGACAGATTACTCAATCTTTGTCCTGCTATTAGCTTAGAGTGTTGTGTTGACATCTCTTCCTTCTAGCAAACAGTCCCATCCATTCGAAAAATGGTTACATGAACCTTGACAGATCTTCAAAAGGCGTAAAAAAACCACCTGAACCTTTCAATTTATTCCCTCAGATATCCTGAAATTACATGTGACCCATAAGGTCAGAGCTGATGGGAATGTCACTCTAAGATGCTGGGCCCTCAACTTCTACCATGCTGAGCTCACCCTGACCTGGCAGAGGGATGGGAACAATCAGATACAGAACGTGGAGGTGATAGAGACCAGGCCTGCAGGAGATGGCACCTTCCAGAAGTGGGCAGCTGTGGTGGTGTCTCCTGGGGAGGAGCAGAGATACACATGTCATGTGGACCATGAGGGGCTGCGTGAGCCCATCACCCTGAGATGGGGTAAGGAGTAGGAGTGACCACAGAGCCTATCTCAGTGAGTTGGGAATATTCAGAGAACCAGAACATGGTCAAGAATGACATCTGGAGGTCAGAGTCCTCACTGTTCCTTCCAATCTTCTGTCAGAGCCTCCTCAGCCCTCTCTCCCCATCATGCCAATTGTTACTGGCCTGGGTCTTGGAGTGGTGCTTACTGGAGCTGTGGTGACTTTTCTAATATGGAAGAGGAGGAGTAAAGGTAAGAAAAGGGCGGGGTCTGAGTTCATGTCTCCCTGGGAATATCAAGCCTAGGTGAATGTGTCCTGCCATATGAGAGAAAAGATTCATCCACACAGGTGCCTCTTCTGTCTTATGCGGATGAGCTGATAACTCCATTGTGAAGCATAAAGGAAATAATGAACAGATTTCTCACTGCAATGATAGAGGTGGCAGAGACCGGATCCTCAGCTCTCAGTGGTCAGATGGAAAGGTTCCTACTGAGAACAGATATGCAGGAGTCCAGTTAGTCCTCCTCATATGCAATCTTCCATTAAGTTAGGCTCATCTTTCTCTGGATCTCCATTCACAATTCTGGAATCTCCCCTGAGATAAGAAACAGGAGATTTCTCCAAGTATTCTAGATCCTGATGCTTCCATTAGCTCTGATAAAAGGGAATATTCCCAGGGGTAAAATGTGAGGCATGGTATTTTCAGGTTTGCCAGTCATTACAATGATGATTCATCCCTGAGACACCTTTGGCAGGACACACAGGAGCCCATGGAGTTTCTCATCCAGCCCATACCTCCTCATTGAGTTCCATCATCTGAGTGTGTGATCTGTTCTTGTATCACTTTCCACCGGGACGTCAAGTTTTTTAGGGATTCCAGCCTTGTTCCAGTGTTAACAGTGATTCCTAAAGGACCGCTCTGAGCAGGGAGAGGTCAGAGAATAGAACCGTGGGGACTGGAACCGCTTGAGTGTGTAAGGAGCTATGCAGAAAGTCACCATTTAAGACACTGATCTGAATTTCTTCCTTCTCTTTTCTTCTACAGGATAAGACAGCTGGACTGAGCCTAACAAGATATATTCTGTGTTCTCTTTTCCCACTGTGGTCTCAAGAACTGATGACTTCTCTTCCTGCATCTGACTGTCACTATGTGTCTATCTCCTGTGAGTACAATGTAACCAGGTGATGAGAGCAGCCCTGCCCTGAGCAGCCACAAATCTCCTCCATACATTGATCATCACTCCTTCCCTATCACCCTTGCTGTTCTCACAGCGGCTGGCCTGGCGAACAAACCTCCATCCCTGACTTAAATTTACTTTTCCCTGAGCTTCAACTTAATGCTTCTTTCTTGAAATCAAGCATGTTTACTGTTATGTGACTCCTTTCAGAGTGGGCATTTGTTTTGTACTAAAGATGAGAACACCTTGATGGAAAAAATAAAGTCTCAGAATATTTGAGAATCATCTGTGGCGTTTTAACTCCATTGCTTTTTGTTAGAGTTGAAGACTGTGTGGATCCAAGTGATGCCTGCGTGTGCACAACTGTTGCTGCTTCCACCCTGGGCTTTCACCTATTCCCTTCTCAACTCTGTCATCTTGCTGTCTCCCAATCCCTGTTCTTTCCATACACTTGTTCTACCAGCACATGTGATCAGAAAGTCTCAGGCATTTGCAGTGCCTGTCTAGTGTCTGTCCTGTTTTGTCATGTTGCAGTCTGATGTTCCACCAAGAGATATTTATTTTTATATTATTATTTTATAAACACTCTTATTTACATATCCATCCCCCCATTGTCTCACCCTCCCATCCTCCCATGCTTTCCACTGACTCCCTAACCCACCCTTTACCCAGCGATAGCTTAGACCTTCCCCAGGGGATCATCAAAGTTCATCCCATCATTTGGGGGAGTGCCCAGGCCCTCCTTTCCCTATCTAGGCTTCAATAGTATCCATCTGTAGGATAAGGACTCCCAAAGTCCATTTGTGACCTAGGAATAAACCCTGGCTCCACTGTTAGAGGTTCCATAGACTGCCTTGTCCTTCTAGCTAGTACCCACATTCAAAGAGCTTGGCTTGGCCCAATGCTGGCTTCCCCTGCTCTATGCCTAGGGTCTGTGTGCTGTCATTAGGTCAGGTCAACTGTTTCTGCGGGTATCTCCATATTCTACAGGAATTACATTTGCTCTCTGTTCTGTGTTTGAGTCTGGTGCCAATGTCTTCTATTGTCCAAATTGACTGACACAAGTAGGGAGTGTTTCTGTCATTGTCCAAAAGTGGATCTTCCTGGTATTCTTACCAAATTGGCAGAGTCCAGGCCTGGTTTGTTACTGACTATGGGCCCTGATCTGTCAGTGATGAAAGTAGGAGGAGACTCTGTCGCCAGGAGATATGCAAGGTCAAGATACACCTAAGTTCATCCTGAGATCCTGTCTCCAAAGGAAGTCATTAATATATAATAAATAAATGAATGAATTTAACAATTAATATTACAAGGGATGGCCAAACTGTACTATCCTAATTCAATTTCAAAACTCTTAAATATGTATTTGAATTTCAGACAGGAAATAGGTTGATGTTAAGATAGTTATGTGAAATATACAAATAGGGAAATGCCTGGTGATGAACCTCATGAATTTCTAGAGGTTTTCACAGCTGCCACTATGAAATTCATAGGATTTCAGGTCATCCCATCACTTTCAACTGAAACTGAGAACCCAGCAAAATGAAGTAAGGGAAACAATCACATGTTGACATCTTTCTACAGAGAGGGTCAGCAGAGAGAGCAAGAGAAATGGTTTAGATGAAACCAGTAGTATTCTCTGTAAAACTAACATCATTGACAGTTTAGACACTTTATGCATTGCCTAAGGGACAGAGATTTTGCCCCAGTTCCCATAGGATGTTCAGACTGCATTTGGTCCCTAAAGCATAGTCGAGCATTTTCTCCAGTGTGCCTCTCTGAATCCCAGAGATAATGCACATTGGAGATTCTCAAGCTCTTGTTAAGGAGTATTAGGAGCAGATCCCCTGGAGAAGGGGATGGGGCAGGAAAGCACAGGTGTCTGAAGCATGTGGTGGGCATCTTCCTGTACCTGTGTCTGTGGAGCAGACTACCTGCCCTAGGCAAGGAGCACATTTCCCAGAAAACCCTAGAGTTCTTCAACAACAGGACAAGGCAGCAATCCTCTATCCAAGAGAAGAGATGTGAGCTCAGCATCCCCACATCCCCTGATCTCAGGAGAGGTGCCCTGGTCCTCTCATTTATACCTGTGTGCAGAGCTTACTTATCTCTCTGATCTATTCTGCGGGTCTCTTTCAGCATCCATGCTAACTTAAGCTTGTGGCCAATATATCTTGTACCATGGTCAACCTGTAGGAGGGTCAGGAGGGCACCTCACACAGCCCACAGTCTCAATCTCCATATGGTTTTTCAGCAGCAATGTATCCAGTCCTGGCCACTGGGATGCTACTTGGAACACAGTCCCTCCAAGTAGGGAAGAGATGTCTGGGTTGATGCCTCAGATGCAGTGATTTAAGCAGAAGGGTCCTAACTATGGGGAGCTCACAAGGGTATCCTAGGATCATGGTTGTGATTTCCCAATGTGTCTAAGATCTCAGATCTGCTAGTAGAACTGGCTGGAGGTGTCTGAGGGATCACTGTCCTAATGACAACCATGAGGATAGAATTCACAAGCTCTGCCTGTACTCCTCTGATAGGAGCAAATGTGCCTTGATCCTCAAGTACAAATTTAGACTCCAGGTTGCAATTATATGATGTTATCATCAATAAAGTTAGAGTCTCAAAACTCTCAGTTCCTAAGACTGGTCAGCATATACCAATATAATACACATAGATGTGTTTACCTTTTAGGTCCACACAAAGGCAACTAACTTCCTCATTAATTCTGCAGTGGTCCCCTCTACCCTGCAGGTTCCTAATCCCTATGCCCTGCTTTCAACCATACATTCAGGGAACCTCTCATTTGTCAGCTCTGGATCTCCAGGACGATTTCTTCCCTATCCCTCTCAGCTTTCAGTGTCAAAATATCTTTGCTTTCACCTGGACTGATCCTGACGACCCCTTCTCCACACAGCTCACCTGGACTGTCCTACCCCAGGGGTTTCAGGACAGCCCCCACACCTATTTGACCAGGCCCTAGTTTCAGTCCTAATTACTCTAGTTTTCTCTCCAAAAATTAAAAGCTTTTATTCATATAGGTGACATTCTCCTTCGTAGCCTGTCCCTACAAATTAGCCAAATCAATACCTCTGCTTTTCTGAATTTCTTCCCTGATCGGGACTATAGAGTTTCACCTTCCAAGGTCTGTGTGTCCACTTGTCAGGCCACCTACTTGGGACTAAGCATTACCCCACCCGTGAAGCCATTCCTGTAGAGACAGAACATGTAACCCAGTCTCTTGCAATCCCCACTACCAAAGAGGAAATTTTACGGTTTCTAGGACTAGCTGGCTTCTTATAATCCTAGGCGACCACTTTTCCCCACCTTGCTTGTCCCTTGTATGTGGCAGCCCTTGACCCTGCACTTGAGCCCCTCCCTCCTCAACTAACCCGTTACTAACCCTTATCACAAGCTTCAACAGGCTCTCACCCTTCCACCAGGATCCAGCCCTTCGTCTCACAGACTTAGCATGCCCTTCCTGCCTCTGTGTAACAGGAAAAGATGGACAAACCCTTGGAGCTCTATGCCACCAGCTGATCACCTTCCTTTGCATCTGAATCATACTAGTCAAAAACAGTAGACCTGCCACCCTGAGATGGGCGCCTGCACACGTGCCTTAGCAGCTGATGAGCTCTTCATTTATGAATGGAAAAAACAATCTAACTTTTGGGTCACCTACCACTCTCTTCTCCTCCCACAACCTATCCCGTCTCCTAACTTGTAAAGGCTTAAAAACTCAATCTCCTGCCTGGGTTCTTTCTCTCCCGGTATCACTAGTAGAAGATGCCATACTAACTTTTCAATTTTTAAATATATTTTTTATTTAAACTAGGAACAATCTTGCTTTACATGTCAGTCCCAGTTCCCTCTCCCTCCTCTACTTCCATACCCTCCACCGGCCCCCTATCTCATTCCCTATCTGCACCATGGGGAGGGTGAGACCATCCATAGGGATCTTCAAAGTCTGTCACATTATTTGTAGCAGGGCCTAGGCTCTCCCTCATGTGTCTAGGCTGAGAGAGTCTCCCTCTACGTAGAATGGGCTCCCAAAGTCCATTTGTACACTAGGGATAAGTACTGATCCACTATCAAAGGCCCCATAGACTACCCAGTCCTATTAACTGTC